GAGCACTGGCTGCTCTTGCAGAGTACCCAGGTTTATCCAGCACCCACATGGTGGCTAACAACCACCTGTAACTCCAGTTGCAGAGGATCCAACACCCTCTTCTAGCCTCCTTGGACACTGCAAGCACATAGTGAACTTACATACATGCAGACAAAACACTCATACACATGAAATAAAAATAATTAAAAAAAACAGTAGTTATAGCTCGTGATTGTTGTATGTTAGTGAGTTATCTTAGCACAGTAACTGGAATATGGTAAAAACTTGCTATAGTTTGAAATCTGAAGTGTTTGGACTTGGTCCCCAGCCTGCAGTGCTACTGGAAATGGTGGACTCTTCAGGTGAAGGTCTAATGGAAGAAAGGTAGGTCACTGGAGTTATGCCCTTGAAGTGGATACAGGGAGCTCAGGCCCTTCCTGCCTCTGTTTCCAGGCCACCATAACATTAGCATGCCTCCTCTGCTGTAGGTAACTTGGTCAAATTAGAGATTAAAACCTCTGAAACCATGAGCCAAATAGGCCTTTCCATTTCCTTTTTTCTAAAGATTTATTTTTTATTATTTAAATTATGTTTATAGGGATGTGCACATGAGAACCGGTACCCATGGAGGCCAGAGACGTCAGATCCCCCTGGAGCTGGAGTTACAAGCAGTTGTGAACCACCTGATGTGGGTGCTGGGAACCAAACTGGGGTCCTCTAAGTGCAGTGCACACTCTTGGGTGCTCTTAACTGCTGAGCCATCTGTCCAGCACCTCCTCCTCCTTCCAATTCTCTCAGGTGCTTTGTCACAGTAACAAAGAGCTAATACTGCCTGGGCTGCTTAGCGCTGAGTACTGCCATTACCTTTCCAGTCCTCTAGGATTAACAGTTCAGTTATCTTTATTTTCAAAATTAACCCAAGCAGCATTTTTTTCATTTTAATTTTCCGTTATGATCTACTTTTCAGATTTTCATACCCTATCAATTCTGATTATTTCTACAGCCATAATGACTAAATCTATGCTCCAAATCTATGCTCAATCTACTTAGTCTCTCCTTTTCAACCTTTTTAAGTAAACAGAAGAGGGAAAAATAACCTCAAGAAAAATCCTGATAAATTCTAATCATGTCCAGTTATAAATGGTATAGGAAATACACGTAGTTTCTTAGGATGTAAATTCTTTTCTATTTTTTATTTATATTTAATGTGAATATGTGTTTTGCCTGAATATATATAAGTGCACCCATGCTGTACAATCCCTGCAGAGGCCAGAAGAAGGTGTCAAACCCCTGGAACTGGAGTTAAGGATCGTTGTTAGCTGCCATATGGGTGCTGGAAACCAAACCCAGGTCCTCTGTAAGAGCAGCCAGTGCTCTCACCTGCTAAACCATTTCTCCAGCCCCAGGACATAATTCTTAAAAGACAGTGTTTTGGATAGCTTTAGTGTCAACTTGATACACTAAAGGAGCCTCAATTGGGGAATTGCCTGCATTGGACTGGCCTGTGACCATGTCTGTGGGACATCTTCTTGATTATTGAGTGCTGTGAGAAGCCCAGCCCACTGTGGGTGGTACCATCCCTGGGCAGGTGGGCCTGTGTTGTATAAGAAAGCAGGCTGAGCAGGGGCCAGGGGAGCAAGCCAGTAAGCAGTGTTCCACCATGGCCTGTGCTACAGCTCCTGCCTCCAGGTTTCTGCCCTGACTTCCTACCTTGGGCTCCCTGATGAACTGTGACCTGGGAGATGTAAGACAAACACACCCTTTCCTCTCCAAGTTGGTATTGGTCAAAGTGTTTTGTCACAGCAATGAAGAAACAAGCTAGAACAGACAGTAACTCTACCATCACTCCATACTGCAAAAAAGTTTTTTAAATTATTTTTTATGTGTATGAAGTGTTTTGCTTAATGTGTGCCTGCATATGCAATGTCCATGGAGGTCAGAAGAGGGCATCAAATCCCCTAGAACTAAAGTTATGGACAGTTACTAGGTGCCACATGGGTGCTGAGTACCAAACCCAGGTCCTCTGCAAGAGCAGCCAGTGCTCTTAACCACTGAGCCAACTCTCCGGCCCCCACATTCTATACATAATGAAAGAAAAATTTGTGAGGTAATTCTTTATATAATTTTGCATGGTTTTAAATTTTCTATAGTCTACTTTAGAAAAATATTTTAGCTATTATATGTCTGAATTTGGGCTGGAGAGATGGCTCAGTGGTTAAGAACACTGGCTGTTCTTGCAGAAGACCTGGGTTCAAATCCCAGCACCCACATGCAGCTAACAACTATCTGTAACTCCAGTTCCATGGGATCCAACAGCCTCTTCTGTCCTCCTTGGGCATTGCACAACATGGATGCACTTACCTACACGCATACACATAAAATAAAAATAAATAAAATATTTTTTAAAAAAAGAGTATAGCCAGGCATGGTGGGACTCACCTTTGATCTTAGCACCTGGGAGGCAGAGGCAGTAGGATCTCTGTGAGTTCCAGGCCAGCTGGGTCTACAGAGTGAGTTCCAGGCCAACTAGTGATTTCCAGGCCGACAGGGAGACACTGTCTCAAAAAGATAAAAACAAAAAGTTCATCCTGTTCATGCAGGGGACCTGAGTTCAATTCCCAGCACCCATATCATGTGGCTCACAATTGCTGTAACTCCAGCTCCTCCAGCTCCAGAGGATCAGATGCCCTCTTCTGACCTCCATAGGCACTGCATACACATGGTGCACTTATTACACACAATACAAGCACTCATATACATAAAATATAAATTTTTTAAAATAATCTTAAGTCTGAACTCAAAAAATAACTGCTAGAAAAGGAAGAATATGAGTTTTGAAATTATATCAAACAAGGAACATCCTGCTCCTGTTGTTTAGCTAATGGTCTGAGCAAATTATTGAGTATCTCTAAGCTTTGGTTTCACTGTCTGAAATATGAAGAAAAATATCTCATTGCACAGAGGGAAAATGTTTGATATGATGGAGAAAACAGTCAGATGCATCTGGGCTGAAATTCTACCGGTAGTAGTTTATGTGACTATCTGAGTTAGTCCTCTTATTCAAGTGAGTATAATCAAATTCAATCCATATGTTGTTGTGTACATTTAACAAGGCAATGTATTTTAAACACCTAAAAATGAACATCAAATAATGAACACTCATTAAACTATGTCACAGGCATTAAACATTTTGGAGACTGTTTTTATTCTGCCAAAGTTAGAAATGAACCTAGTCTAATAGGTTATAAAATACCTTATAATCTTTAATCTTTTTTATACTTTTGAGCAGATAAACTGACAACCAACATAGAAAACATGATTTATATAGAAACTAGAGCATTAAAGTATGAGTAATAACATTCAGGGCACAGAAAGGAAACATTTCCTTGGGATTAAGTAGTATTCTTTATAAATGTCTTTCAGTTTTCTTTGCCAATAAAATTTTTCCTGAAGGCTCAGCATGTTGCTCCTAGAATTACTCATGAGCCATCTTAGGTAGTAAGCTAGACAGACTCTTGTTATCAACTCTTTAGTGTCAGGCATAATGTAGCAATATCAAAATGATTCACAGAAATAGAAAATCACTGTGCCATACAAACAGCCATCGCCCGAGCAGGATCAAGAACTTTGGGGTATGACTGACAATTTTAGATGGTGTTTATCAACATAAATAAAATTCAAGTGGTTGCTTGTTACCTTAGCAAGTTTGATTTTAGTATCATTTACATACACACACACACACACACACACACACACACACACATCCTAAATTATATTCAGAACTGCTTCCAAAAATTAGCTTAAGTAAGCTGAGCAAAAGTTTCTTTGGAAAGAACAGTTTCTTACAGGTAGTTCAACAGTTATTTTTTTTAAATATTCTGTGTGTATATGTGTATCATACATGGGCTACGGTGCCTGTGTGGAAGTCGGAAGATAACTTGGGGGAGTCATCTCTCTACTTCCATCACGTGGGTTCTGGGTGTTAAACTCAGGTTGTCAGGCTAGATGGCAAAGGCCTTTTTTACATGCCAGCTCAGCTCTATTTGTTTTCTGTATGAGTGATCATGTGTCATACTTATCAATTGTTAATTAACTACACAGGCATAAGAAAAGTATTAACGCTACCATTTTATAATAGAATAGAATGAGGATGGCACAGTGTAGTGCATTCACTACATAAACACAAACTATTTAACCACATTGTGTGGGGGTTTTCCTCTCTTGTATTTGTGTCCAACATGAATAGACGCGATTCTTAATCTACTCCCTGAGGAAGCTGTATTTTAAACACAAGAGGAACACATTATAGTATACCGAATACCTCAGTCACCATACATTGTTTCCCACAACTGAGGAAACCAAGTTAACACTTAATTCCCATTCTCTTTCCTGTGTTCAACAATATAAAGCGAAGTAATGTTTTCAAAGGGAAACGCAAATGTAAATGGGGCAAGCAATCTCCTGAGAAGTTTTCTTCCTTTCAGCTTTTCTTGGTGGGCATGAAGAACAGAGAAACGTAATGAGCACCTCAAGAGATGGGATGGTGATTTTCACAAGTACCTTTCAGTAGGTCAACTGATGGAGGTGGAGAAAGAAGTTACTGCTTTGAAGTTCATCTCTCTCCACTCACTCATGTTCATCTCCACTCACTCACTCACTCACTCACTCACTCACTCACCCACTCACCCACTCACTCTGGGAAAGACGCCAGTGCAGAGTTCGGTCCTTCGACAGTGACCCACGCTACTGTGATGAGAACTTAAGAACATGCGTGCTATACTCCCCAGTTCTAGCCCGGTGGATCCTGCGGACACCGGGCTGCAGACCCGGGTGTGGCAATCTCCCCAGCACCGGCTGCGGACTCTGAAGAGACTTGGGCGCCCATCCGCCAGTCCTCCGATCCCCTCCAGAGATGCTGCCGCGCCCAGGCTCGGGGTCCCGCCAGGCCCGGGGGCGCGCGGGCAGCGTTCCCGTTACCCGGGTGGGCCCGGAGCCCCCTCCCCAGCCCCGTCCCCGCTCACCCGCTCGGGTGGTGTCCGTCAGGTCGTGGTTGGCCGCTCCCCGGGGAAACTCCCTCAGTTTCCGGCCGCTCAGGCTCAGCACCCCAGTGACCGCTGCCTCCTCCAGGGCTCGGTCGACCGAGCGGCTCCACGAGCCCGGGCCAGAACCAGGCCCTGCCCCCGGGCCCGGGCCACAGTTAGCACCAGAGAGGTTCCCTCTGGACGCGGTCGGGCCAGCGTACTCCACAGCCGCTGCCACCGCGCCCGCGGCCGCCATTTCCCAGCCGACACTTCTCCGGCCCGGCTCCGCGCATGCGCGGCCCGATCAGATGGGTGGGCGGGGAAAAGGGCTCGCAGACCCCCGGCAGCTCTCGGGATGCGCCGGGCCCTGCCAGGCGCTGCCCCTTGCACACCGAGGGGGGGGGGGGGCGTTGGGGGGGGCGCTACACGGACGTCCCGGATCTACAGCAGCTCCCGCTACTCTGGGCTTCCAGCAGCATTTCTAAAATGTCACTCCAAAAATGTAACAATGTTCCTCAACAAAATTTCCCTGTCTTCCTCCCTCAGTAGTGGGTTAGATTAAGGAACAAAAATTCTTAACACAGCCAGAAACTTGGACACTAAGAAGGAACTCTCTAAAAAACGAAAACGACTCTCAAATTATTGTACTGCTAGATGATCTAAGTTGAGATTCGTAGATATACTATTAGTATTTGAGGAAAAAAAAATACTGTGTGCGCACATTCGGCTCCAAATTCGCTCATTCTTGTTTAGTTATGTAAATATTTTAGTCTCCTTTCTTTTTATGAAAAAACTCTTAATGAAAACAAGCATCCAAATAGTAACTGTTTTTTAAGAATGAATTTATTGCTGACTACAGCAGTACGAATCATATTTAACATTTAGGTGTGCAGCCCAAATTGAGAAACACAAAATATTCAGACAATAAACTAAAGGATTAAAGTTAGAACCAAAAGACCAAAATTAAAACTATTCAAGTAATGAAAAAGTAGAAAATAACACTCCATTTTAAACCAATCAGACCTCACTAATATTGCACTCTTTATCATACTTCTCAGTGTTTTAAATTCAAGCCATTCCTGGTGCATGTAAATTTCATTTACAGTAAGTCCTAACTTACTGTGGAAAATATAAGGGGCTGTCAGACAGTCCCTTTCCTAAAGAATTATAATGACTCTAATTGCAGAATTCAAATAGACCAGTTTACAGTAAGACAACAACAGAATGGCTCAGTAGGAATAGGGGAAGATTATCTACAGAGTTCAGAGAAAAGGAATCCTCTCAGGGGTGAATGAGGTTTTTAATCAAGCCTAAGAAATTCCAAAGTGGGATACGCTGAAGTGAGAACAACATTCCATACTGCTAGATCATCATAAGCATTCAGGCGGCATTTATGATACATATTAAGGACATTAAGACTGTAAATGAGAAAGTTCCTGGAAAAGAGCAAAATAAAAGGTTGGGAAGAGCCTATTCATCATTCAAGGCCCAACTCCAGTAAAATCATGATAAGCATGTTTCTGAATTTCTAACTGTAAGAGATAGTAAAAATGTTTCAACACTAAAGCTGATTAGTGACTGCTGCTCAGAGAATTGTTCTATGAAGTTTTTGTTGTTTTGTTGAGACAGTCTCACTGTGTAGCCATGCTGGCCTCTGCCTGCCAAGTGCTGAGAATAGAAGGTAGGCATGTGATATACCATGACTGGCTATGGACACTTAATGTGACACTCTGGTTTCTTAAGCAACAAGTTCCACAATAAACTATCAATGCTTGTTATGAACACAAGTCATTTCGATGACAGATGTGTCATCTCTGTCAAGTAATTTTTATGCAACATGTATCATTTTGTTTCTTTCTAATATTTTGCTCTACTTAGAAAGATACTAAATTAGCCAGGCATAGTGACAGTGGTACATGCTTATAATCCCAGCATTGGAGATGAGGGAGGAAGATCATGGGCTCCAAGTCGACCTGGGTTATATAGAGAGACCCTGTGTTGAACAAAAGATGGGCCAGCCAGATGGCCTGGTGAGTTTAAAAAAAAAGAGGCTTGATGACCTATGAGCCCCTAAACCCACCCGAAGTGGAAGGGGAAAACTACTTCATCCTCTGACCTCTGCCCACAATCACACCACACACATATACACAATTTTATAAAGATTAGGGACGGAAGAGATGGTTCAGCAGTTAAGAGCACTGGCTGGTCATGCAGAGGACCCAGGTTTGATTTCTAGCACCCACATAGTGACTAACAATCATCTGTAACTCCAGTTCCAGGGGATTTGATGCCCTCTTCTGACCTCCATGGTATTGCATGACACAAGTGTACTTATAATACATGCAGGCAATACACTCATACACAGAAAATTGAAAAAAAAAAAAAAAAAGATTAAGCTGGGGCTGGAGAGATGGCTCAGCAGTTAAGAGCACTGGCTGTTCAAAGGACCAGGGTTTGATTCCCAGCACCACATGGTAGCTAACAAAAATCCATAATTCCAGTTCCAGGGGATCCAATGCCCTCTTCTGGCCTCCACAGGTATTGCACACAAGTGGTGTACCTATATGTGCAAACACACACATAAAATAAAAAAATTTTTTTAGTCCTTTTGAGACAGGGTCTCCTTATAGACCTAGCTGACCTGGAACTCACCACTGTAGCCCAAGCGGGCCTCAATTTCAGAGATCCACCTGTCCCTGTCTCCGAAGTGCTGGAATTAAAGGCATGCACCACCAGGCATAGCTAAAATAAAAAATTTTGTATTTGAGGTTTCAACTACAGTATTCCTTGTGAACACCGTAGTCCTAAGAAATTGCCAGATGTGTCTTTCTAACATCATCTAACTTATTAATGCACATTTATACTAAATTCCTCCAACACATTATTAGTAACATGGTTTCTCTCTACATGCACATCCCACTGCAATCTCAACTTACTAAGCTAATCCTGAGCTGACCAAATTTACGATTTTTTTTTTTGTCTGAGACAGTGTCTCCCGTACCCCGCCCCCTAGAACTCTCTATGTAGATCGGGCTGACCTTGAACCCACAGAGATCCACCTGCCTCTGCCTGCTGAGTGCTGGGATCAAGGGCGTGTGCCACCATTCCCAGCTGTTTTGAGTAGATTTTTAAGTCCTTCATGTGTTAAACTCTATACTATAACTATCTCCCATATCCATGGGTGGGATGAGTGTATGAATAGTAATACAGACACGTGTAAAGCAAGAGAGACAGCAGATAGCTTGCTTACACAGGAGACAATGTTGGGAGGAAAAACATATTTTTCTGAACAAGGTAAGAAAGCATACACACACACACACACACACACACACACACGAAAACACCCCCCTCCCAAAAATGTGATAAAGGAAAAAATGAAGATGTTACACATACTATTATGTGTGAGAGAAAGTCTCTAAAGGACATGAAAACTGGGGAAAGGGCTGAGTGTGTTAAGAGCACTTGCTACGCAAGCATGAGGACCTGAATTTAAAACCCCAGTACCCAAGGAAAAAAGCCAGGTGTGGTTGTGTCTGCACTTGTAACCCCAGCACTGGAGAGTGGGGACAGGAGCATGGCTGGGGCTTGCTGGCTCTTCTCCTAGCTCCAGGTTCAGTGAGAGACCCTGTCTCAAGGGAATAAGGTAGAGTGTGATAGAGCAGGAACTTGACATCCTCCTATTGTCTTTGTGCACATACATGCATACACCACACAACACACACATGCACAAAGATAATTTTAAAAATATTTTAAAAAGTAAAAATGTGAGATCAAGGAATGATTTTTGATATGTCTAAGGGCTTGGGTTTCAACAGTCAATGTAAAATGAGAATTCTCACCCTATTGCCTCAATCTTCTTTTTCTGAGTGTGTCTACGTAGCGTAAGATAGCTTCAAACTCTTGATTCTCCTGCCTCAACCTCCTGCCTGCTGAGATTATAGGCCTACACCACCACACCCAGCTCCTCAATCTTCATATAGTACTTTTCAATTATAAGAATGAGTTATCAGAAATGAAGTCTATGGAGAGTTCACAAACTTAACTCTTCAGGAGTTAAGAATGAAACAAGAGACATCCGCAAAAAGGTTTTGAGTAAAACATGTATTAAAAAATCATCTACTTTATTCAATCACCTGAACAAGGACAGTGGGGGTTATTCAGTCTGAGGAATTGACAGAGCACATCCCCTACACACACACTTATTTTTTAAAAATATTTTATTATGTGTATGCGTGTATTGCCTGCATGTAGGTAAGTGCACCCATGTCGTGCAATTCCTGAGGAGACAGAAAAGAGGCTGTCAGATGCCCTGGAACTGGAGTTACAGACAGTTGTTAGCTGCCATGTGGGTGCTGGGATTTGAACCTGGGTCTTCTGCAAGAACAACCAGTGTTCTTAACCGCTGAGCCATCTCTCTGCCCCACACACTCTTATTTTACAGACTAAAAATTAACTTATTCAATACCAGAGGCAAGTTTCACTCAGATTTCAATAGCTTCTTCAAACTCTAGGTGATAAACACTTACCATAAGGAAAATAAAAAATACTTTCTCTGACTTTCCATTAAAAATTATGATCATTCCTTTAAGACTCCACTTCTAGGATTAAAAACTTGATGAATCACATTCTCTTTGGATTTAAGAAAACTCACTTGTTGAATATTCAATAAATGTTTGGTCATTAGCTTTTTGTCTTGTTGAGACAGGGTCTAGCCCTGCCTGGCCTGGAACTTACTACATAGATGAGACTAGACTAGAGCTTGCAGTGATCCTACTGCTTCCACCTCCAAAGCGCTGGAATTACAAGGGTATACCACCAAGTCTGGCTTTCTTACTCCTTTAATAAGAGGACTAACTTATTTTTTTAAACTTTATACAAGAAAGTTGAATGTGATTTTTTTCTCATTAGAAAATGGAAAGTCACATGCAGTAAACAGCTTCCTAATCATTTTTAACTATTAGCATATCGCCCATACTCTTAAATCTACAATTTCCAAGCAAATATTTCAATCTCTTAATGGTCTACAGAAGTACAAAATTCTTCTCACAAATGCTTTTTCACTGAAGTATCACTTTAAAAATGTGATAAAGGGAGGATGGCTCAGTAGGTAAGAGCACTTACTGCTCTTGCAGAAGACCTAGGTTTCGTTCCCAACACCAACATCAGGCAGCTCACAACCACGTAACTCCAGTTCCAGAAGGGTCTAAATAATGCCTTCTTCTGATCTCTGTGGGCACTAAACAGGTGTGGTACACATACATACGTGCAGACACACGTATATACACATAAAATACAGACAAATTAAAGTGTGACAAAGCTATGAATGGTGGCATTTTCCTGTAAACTGAGTGCTCTGGAAGCTGAAGCTTAAGAACTGATACAATAGCCTGGAGAGAGAGGGAGGAGGGAGACTGACTGTTAACATTCCTCCCCCCAAATCTTTCAAGGGACGCTTAAAGTTCCTGTTTTTCACAAAGGCAAAAATATCCATATAATTTAGATAAAAGGGAAAGGTCTACTGAATAAAATGTTTCAATACTGCCTGCATTTGAAGTATATGAAACTCTTTGTAGTGCCAAGTGAACTACTTTTTCTCTTCTCTCTTCCTAGTGAACTATTCCCAAATTGCATATGCTGTGTAAATTACAAAGTTATAGGCAGCAACATCTAATAAAAACTAAGTGACAACAAATCCTGTTTCTTATACACAAAAGTATTTTATAATTTGCTTATAATTAATATAGTGAAAAGTTTATGTGTGTTTAAAAATACATAATGTCAGCCGGGCGTGGTGGCACATGTCTTTAACCCCAGCACTCGGGAGGCAGAGGCAGGTGGATCTCTGTGAGTTCAAGGCCAGCTTGGTCTACACAGTGAGTTCCAGGACAGCTGGGGCTACAGGGAGACCCTGTCTCAAAAAGACCAGAAAAAAAAAAATACAGAATGTCTGATGAAGAATACCAGTTTGGGGGCTAGAGAGATGGTTCAGCTGTTAAGAGCACTGGCTACTTTTGCAGAGGACTTGGGTTGGGTTCCCAGCACCCACATAGTGGCCCACAATCATCTATAACACCAGTTCCAGGGACTCCAATGCTCTCTTCTGGCTGCCATGGGCACTGCATGCCACTTACACACATGCAGCTATACACCTAAAATAAAAATAATAAAATTTTAAAAGGAACACCAGTCTCTCTTTGTCTATGGCTATATGTTTGGTATTCTGAAATAGGGTCTCATGATGTTATCCAGGCAAACCTGGAACTAGCAACATCCTTCCTGGTGTACAATGGACACACCGGCCTTTTCTGGTAAGTTTCCAAAATTTCAATACCAAAGTAATGAAGTAGTTATCATTAGAGGAGGTTTACTGACCATGCTATAACTGCTGATGCATGGCTATTACTACTTCTTAGCTATTTTACTACTTTCTGTTTGGGAAGCAGTTCTTAAGATGTGATGCTCAGGGGCTGGAGAGATGGCTTAGCAGTTAAGAGCACTGACTGCTCTTGCAGAGGACCTGGGTTCGATTCCCAGCACCCACATGGCAGCTATGAACCATCCTTAACTCCAGTTCCAGGGGAATTCGAAGCCCTCTTCTGACCTCCACAGCACTGCATGACACAGGGGCACTCACATACATGCAGACAATACACTTGTACAAGTAAAATAAAAATATTTTTTAAAAAAAGATATGATGCTCAATATGTGACTGCTATATTCAAGTCTTAAAAATGATGGGTCTCACTTTACTAAGTGGGAAAAGGGGGCTAAAGTGGCTATTGCTAACAGCTCTTCTAGCTGAAATTCTGCACTGTAAATAAAATAGTTCTCATCTTTAATTCCCCTTGGCTACCCCATGTTGGAGCTATGAATGAAAGGTCAAAAGGCAGTTGGAGGAACACCTATAGAGTATAAGTTTAGCTGGTCAGTAACTTTTTTAATTCTTGAAATTATAGTCACTATAAAATTCTTCTTAACACTGAACTATCTAAAACCCACAACTCAATCGCTATAGCTAAGAATAACTCATTAAGCCAGGCATGGTGGCACACGCCTTTGATCCCAGCACTCGGGAGGCAGAAGCAGGCGGATCTCTGTGAGTTCAAGGCCAGCCTGGTCTACATAGTGATCCAAGACAGTTTTTTTTTTTTTTTTTTTTAAAAAAAAAAAAAAAAAAAAAAAAAAAAAACCTCATTAAACCTGTTACATTTTATTTGTCAAAAACAAACTGCTTAGAATAAATCTAAATGTAACTTTTCCAAAAAACACCAAAAAGTACAGTGTAAAGCACCTCCTCATTAAATACAAACTTTCATTTTGTGATGCACTGCATCAATGTTTTGCATACATCTTGATGCAAAGGAAATTTTAAGTTGCATCCTGTTTCAAAAAAAAAACACAACAAAAAACCTGTAAGAATGAAACAAGGATGACTATAACCACATTCCACACACAGAAATTTCCCTCCAACAAAGCATATTGTTTGGTTTATATACAACATGTTAGCACTCAAGGGTGTTTGGTTGTATCAAAGGCAAAATTTACTTTGAAAGAAAATTAAATTACAGATGCATGAAGAGCAAACATTTAACATACCAAAGACAATGTGTCATCCAATGTACTTAAATGTCAACATTTGGGGCAATTTTCAAAGTTTTCCAATAAATGGAATTACTAATACCTCTGTATAATATTTAAAACAACAGGAAAATAGGATCTTTATACCATTACTTTCACAAACTGTTCTAAAGATAGCAAATTCGTGCTTGTTTCTCCTTTGCTTTAAAATAAGCTACCAGTAATTCTAAACCAGTCTAAAATGTTTTGTTCCTGAACCAATATATTTAAATTGGCAAAAATGTTTTATATTAAGTCCTTGGCCTCTATGAAAAGCATCATAGCTGAGAAGAAATTAGTTTATTTTCAAATTCTGTGACTGGCTTCCAAAAACCCCTTATCAAGTAGAAGTACTGGTAAAATGTCATATATTAAGGATCAGATTTAAATCTTTGGTATAAGCATGAAACTGTTACTGATAGTTTTCCATGGCTGCATAAACCAGTAAGAAACTCAAGGAGCATGAATGACAATGAAGTCTAGTACACAGTGGAGGTGGGCAGCAATTACAGTGTTTCGTCCTATAGAAAAGCCAGATACATTTAACACCTACTTAAGAGGTTTCAAACCTGACAAACCAAAAGGTCAAGCTTCAAAATGACTTAACTTGTAGCTGGAATATTTTGCTGTATTTTGGCATTTTACTGTAATCTACGGCATTCAACTAACTGAAGACTCAGCACTATCTTGGCACAGCCAACTCTCCAGAAGATTTTCCCCATAAATGTCTCGACTTTGTATCATACCCGAATCAGAAAGTACACAAGGTTACAATGTAACCAATTTTTTCTTCATGACATATACAAGTAGATGTTTTAAGAGTTGTAAATGGTTTAACTTAGCAAGTTTAAACACTTAAAAAAATTTTAAGTATGAAGTGCAAGACTTTATGGTCATTATGTTTACTATCAAAATAGCCAAGGACTCAATAATTTTAAAAAACTATTAATTCTTATAAATATCATCTGTAGAAGAATCTCCAGGCCACATTAAATCCCAAGAGCGTATCATGACCTGGGTTTCAAATTTTTCACTTATGTTTCCGGTCCTTCAATTTCCTACTGCCTTTCTTGTTTTCCTCATCTACTAAATGCAAACTACCAGGTTTTATATTGGGCATTCTCCTCCAAAGCCCTAGCAGGTAACCTTGTAAATATGCATTTACAGCCTTCAAACATTTAAATTATGACTAATCCTGAGAGCCAGATTTCTTATTCAAAGTTCAGCACTAAATATTTAGAGCTTTGGGGGTTTACACTAATAAGTGAAAAATGAACCAAGTTCTAGGTATTTCCATAAATCTTAAAGGCTAGAATGGAAATTCTCATAAGGTTTTAAAAATATCTCTAATGACAAAAAGGCAACTGCACTTACTACATCAACATTATTAGTGGATAAGAGACAGCAACAAAGGGGTTTACTCATATTTTTGAAGTTTAAATTTTACCATGGCAAAGTCTAAAAAATGGGCAAAGGTGACAAGATCCTAAATGCCACTCTCATAAAAATAATCAGTTTCTATTTTTCTGTCTTCCTTCTGCTTCACAAGGAACCAAAGAACAAGAGAATTGTTCTGCGTGGGTCAACCATGAAATCTTTATATAGGTATATTCCCTGTTATTCTTTCAGGGCATTATTTATACATTAAAAAAAACTTCAAAAATAAAGTTATTTAGTCTTGTGAATATTTTGAAGTAAAGTTTCTTGAACTTCTGTGATGAACTCTTCAAGCAATTCAACTTTTCAAATAGTCAACACTTAAAAGTTCTATTAACGTGGATCTACCCCACAGTAACAAAGCGGCTTCCTCCTTTGTTGAATGTGAGAGAGGCTCTTTGTTCCTTCAGTATCCCAAATCGTTCATTCAAAGTCATCCCTGTCTATAGAAAAGGAAAAAAAAATTAACCTAACTGAAAAAAAACCAAACATATTCTTTATATGTGATTAAGATTAATAGAAATTAGGAGTAACAATAGCTAACATTTTCTGAATTGTGTGTAATTTCATTTGACCCTAATAAACTAAGGAATTGTTAAAAAGGTTTAAAGCACTGAATTGTCTACCAAAAGCTTGAGAATTTAACTAGGTAGTCTAAGAATCCCTATCTTCTAATCATTATAATGTCTGCATTACATACTATATAAATACATACATACATACATACTACTACTAGTGATGTTCATACAACATATACCCAAGATTCCTGTAATGGAATCTAGTGGTGCTTCTGATAAAAAGGATTATTCTTGCTGGGCCTGGTGGTGCAAGCTTTTGATCACAGCACTCAGGAAGCAGAGACAAGTGGACGTCTGTGAGTTCAAAGCCACCCTGGTCTACATAGGGAGCTCTAGGCCAGCTATATGAGAATCTATATCCAAATAAATAAATAAACAAACAAAATTATAGTTATCTCAACTTGTGAATATTCTGAAATAAATTTTCTTGATTTGAGTTCTCTACAGAAATACAAATGAAAATATGGGGGGTAGGGGGTGTGCCTGGAGAGACAGCTCAGCAATTAAGAGCACTGGTTGCTCTTTTAGAGAATCTGGATTCAGTTCCCAACACCCTCATGGCGGCTAACAATCATCCTTAACTCCAGTTCCAGGGCATCCAACACTGTCTTCTGACCTCTGCAGGGTCTGCATGACATGGATACACTTACACACATTCAGGCAATACATTTGGGGTATTAAAAATCAAACTAAAAAAAAAAAGAAAAATGGTTTTTGATTAATAACCAAGTGCTCCCAATCCAAAAAAAAAATTTTTTTAACAATAGTGGCAAAATAAAAAAGCAAAATAAATATGCTTTTTTTTTCCCCTCAATCCTTTAATCTTAGTACTCTGGAGGCAATAGATGGTCCCAGTGAGTTCAAGGTCATCCTAGTCTACATAGCAAATACCAGACCAGCCAGGGGTGCACAGTGAGACCATGTCCTTAAAAATTTTTTTTTAAATTGTTTTTGGTAGTGGGAACTATGCCAAGACTTTCTACATGCTAAGCATGTACTTTCCCACTGAACACCCCTACATTTTTTCTATGCTTCTAAATCTTAAATTCCAGTACCTTTATTTGTGTAAAACTGTTTTCCCAAGTAGTATATAATGAAATTCAGTATTAATTCATGATAAAAATTCTCAGCAAGATGGGAGCTCCCTCAACCTGATAAAGGGAATCTACAATAAATGTAAAGCTAGCATTACATTTTTAAAAAAAAAGCTTGAGATCTTTACTTTTTTAGTTTGAAAGAAAAACCACAGGGCAGGCAAGATGTAAATCCCAGCAGCAGCTGGAAGGAGGAAAATGGAGAAGAGGGTCAGCAGTGGAGGTCTGCAAGCAGCTATAGAAAAGAAGAGGCATTTTCTGAGAAAAGAGTAAGCCCAGAGTGTCAAGCAAGCATACTTGGGATTTGGGCCTATGTTCAAATTAAAACTAGAAAGGGGAAAAGGAAAAGTTATACTTTTGAGTTCAAAGTCAGAAAAGCAGCAGGCTTATCAGTGAAAATCTGCAAGCAACTGCTAACAGTATTATACTTAAAGGTGAAACATTTAATGTATTTTTCCCTCAGGCTTTGGAACAGGGAGAGCATACTAGTCTTAACCACTTCTATTCAACACTGTACTGGAGGTGATAGCTATTATAATACAAGAAAAACAAAAGGTTGAAACACTCGAAAGGAGTTTAGAGAATAATCAACTATTTATATAGAAAACCCTAAGAACCTATATTCACTACAAAGTTAAGTGAATTAACAACACTGGAGAACACAAACAATAAAAATTGTCAAAATAACAGTGAGTTATCACTTTACACTCACTTGGATGGCTATAATCAGATGACAATAACAATTGTGTCAAGGATATGGAGAAATTTAGAAACACATATATGCCTGTGTGAACATAAAATAGAACAGCTACTTCTTTGGGAAACAGCTTGGCAGTTCCTAAAAAGGTTAAATACGGAGTTAACAGACAGTCTACCAAAGTCTTTCTAATTTACCCTTGGCATTTACCAAAAAAGAAATGAAAATAAATGCTAACACAAAAACTGGTAAACAAGTGCTCAAAGAAATATCATTCATAGTAGCCAAAAAACAGAAAAACTCCAAATATCCACGAGCTAAGGAAAGAATACATAATATGTGATATATACACATGATGAATCAATTCAAATAAAAAATTAAATAATAATACAATGTGGATTAAACTTTTAAAAATATAGTAAATAGGGGCTGGAGAAATGGCTCAATGGTTTGAAGAGCACCAGCTGCTCTTACAGAGGACCCAGGTTCAATTTCCAGCATCCACACGGCAGCTAATGTCCATCAGTAACTCCAGTTCCAGGGGATCTAATGCCCTCTCTGGCCTCCATGGGCATTGTACACATGGGTACAGTTATATATAGGCAGTACACTCATACACATAAAATAAAAATACATAAAAATGTAAAAATATAAAATAAAAGAAGCCAGTAACAATTTAATGAAATGTCCAAATGGGCAATTTATGATACAGAAAGCAGGTGAGTGCTTGCCTAGGGTTGGGGGAAGAAGAGGTTAGACCACCCTGTTTAATTTGCTGAACAATGTTTTTTGTTATCAAAGACTAGCCAAATAAATATAGGAAACTTTGTTTTTTACCTGTTTTCCAACACTATTTATGTCAAACTGTAGAGGGACACCTTTAGGAACTTTCTTTACATCAGACTGCTCTCGTTTTGTCAAGAATGAGGGTACAGCAGTACGAGTTAATCGTGGTTTCTGAGTTCTATCAGAAAAAAAGTTTAAATTAGTTTAACAATCAAAAGCTAAGAAAGATAAAAGTACTTAAAATTTCTTCACTTCTACACATGTTCAAATGTTTTAGAGTTAGTATGTTCTTTAAAAGAAAATAGCACCTGGCTCTTGAATGACTAATAAAATTTCTAACTGTTCATAGAATACCTCCTTAAGTATAATGGCATACTTTTAACAATTTCAAATGCCTGGTCATTTCTAAGTCGTGGTCTTTTTAAAGTAAAGCAACATATTTAGTCTTGGAAGCCCATCCTATGTTAAGTTTATAGCGCAATACATACAATAAAATGGTTAACTATATTAAGCTCCCCTTGGAAAAAAAATAACACCATGAAATCTTTAAAGAGAAGGTAGGTGTATATGGTCTGAAAAGTAAAGGCATCCAAAATATGGTAGGGAGAGGGAGGAGGAATTCAGTACAATTATCTCATGTACTACTATGTACACAATTGTTTGTTAATCCCGCACAGAACTGAGTTTGTGTGTGCATGTACACGTGGAGGCCAGAAGTCAACATCAGGTGTCATTGTCATTCTCTATCACCTGTTTCTCCCTTTTTGAGATGGTCTCCCTATAGTCCCAGCTTGCCTGGAACTTGCTATATAGACCAGGCTGGCCTCAACCTCACAAAGATCTATTTGCCCCTACCTCCTGAGTGCTGGGATTAAAGGCATGCACCACCACAGCCTGCCTCACCTTAGTTTTTGAGATAGGGTCTCAAATAGTTTTTGCGATAGGGTCTTGGTAAGCAGCATTTCTGACCTTTCCTATTTTCACAGCTTGCTGATGATGATCAGTTCACCAAATCTGATACTCAACAATTGGCCAGACTACTTGGCCAGTGAGCTCCAGGGATCCACCTGTCTCTGCCCATGCCCCTCCAGTGCTGGGGTTGCAGGATGCATGCTACCACACCTGTTTTTTTATGTGGATGCTTGGGGATACAAACTCAGTTCTTCATGTTTGAGCAGCAAGCACTTTAACTCACTGAGCCATCTACCCAGCTCCATGCACAGAATGGGTGGGTGTGTCTCTCTCTCTGTGTGTGTGTGTGTGTGTGTGTGTGTGTGTGTGTGTGTGTGTGTGTGTGTATGTATGTTTTATCCTTTTGAGAGAAGAGTCTCCCTGTAGCCCAAGATGGCCTGAAACTATGTAGAACAGGCTGGCCTTGAACTCACACAGATGTGCTGGGACTAAGGGTGTGTGCCACCATGCCCAGCATGCACAGAATTTTTAGAAACAAAAATACCCAAGAATCAGGCATGGTGGCATATGCCTGTTGTCTCAGGACTCAGGAAACTGAAGACAGGTCCTAAGTTCAAGTCTGTCTCAAAAAACTAATATAGACAGATATCTGTATTACCCAAGAAATCCTTGGGGCTATGGAGCCAAGAACCATGGGAGCCTTTTCTTTAACTTTATCCTATTCCACTTCCTTTTTCGCACTTGTTTGGATTTGTCTGAAACAGGGTCTTATTCCAAGCTGGCCTGGAACATACTATGTATACCAGGCTGACCTTGGAGCTCACAGCAATCCTCCAGCTTTAGCCTCCCAGGTACTGGGATTTAGAGGTCTGTTAGCATATCTAACTTATTATTTCCAATGTGTGCCACAAGAATTATCTTTATCCTTGCATTTCATTTTATCCTAACTTAGACATCATACTTTGAGTACAAGTTCAGTACTTTTCTATTATTTCATATACTAAGAGGCTGTAACTTTTCCAAAGAAAAAAAGACTTACACGGGGCACTGCACTGCTCCAGGATTGTCAATGGATACAGTCAAAATTCCTCCATTTGTGGTTGAAGTACGCCATCTAAATAAAGAAAAAAATTCTCAAAATGGAAATTTCTAAATCCTATAGTATATCCCACATGAAGATACTCATTTGGTCTGTCTGTCCATCCATCCATCCGTCTTAGTACTTGGAAATGAACTCTCATACATATCAAAGAGTTCTACTACTAAGCTCCAACCTCAGCCCCAAAATAGACATTTTTTAAAAGTCATTAGTTTTTCTTGGATTTTAAAAAATATAGACACCATGGACCCCACCAGTACTGATAATTTATTAGTATCTTGGGTGTAAAAACTGGACACCTGAATTTGTTGTTTTTCAAAATAAATAAACAGACATTAAAAATATAAACACTGAAGGGATTCTAATGAAACCTAATAATCTCTCACCCCAGTTTCCTCCTTACCATTTCTAATCTCAATAAGCAGCATTTCTGATCTTTCCTATCTTCACAGCTTGTTGATGATGACCAGTTCATTAATATGGTGTTTATATAGAAATGCCTTCCCAAGATGACGGAGGTCGTCACACTATCTTCCAGTTTCCCTACTTCTAATTATTTTGATGGCTCTATATCTATTTGATATTCATTGTAAATTAAATCTCTTTTTCTTAATAGTATCTCAATCCTCTTTCCATTTTTGTAAGAGAGGTTAACAGTATCTCTAGTCCTTTCCACCTTTCCTCCCACTTTGTATTTCCCATTTTTCATTAGTTATATCACCACCACCATTACAGAGTCTCACTATATAATCTAGGTTATCCTGAACCGGAATCTTCCTGTATCAGCCTTTTAGTGCTCAAATTATAGGCAAATGCCACCGTGCTTAACTGTTGGCTCTATCTTTACATTAGCCAAAATATGACACTTCCATTATATTATCCCAAATTAACTATCTTGTGCTTTATCTACAGTTGATTCTTGAAATTTAAAACAAATAATGCCAGGCATGGTGGCATATGCCTGTAATCCCAACACCTGGGATATAGCAGAATGGTCAGGAGTTCAGGGACATGCTCAATCAGATGAGGCCAGCAAGGTCAAGTGAGACCGTCTTCCCTAGATAAATAAACGAACAATAAATGGCACACAGTATTGATACTGTGTAAATGTTGCTCGGTGAAGAATCAAATAGGCTCTGATTATTATTTTCTTCCTTAGGTATCCACTGTCATACCTCCTGTGCTAAAGAATACTGCCAGTATCAAGTCCAAAAATTTCCTTTCCTATACTCTGACTGCTCAAAATCATGCTGTACTGTACTTACCATTACATCTGGACCATGAACACATTTTATGTTTCATTTTACAAAAAGTGGATTTAATTTTAGGCAGTTTAATCTCAAAATCTGATTGCACTGATGGAATCTGAGAAAAATTCACATGGGAACAATGGACAAAAATTAATTAAAAAATACTTTTGCTGCACGTGGTGGCACATGCCTTTAATCCCAGCACTTGGGAGGTAGAGGCACGTAGATCTCTGTGAGTTCCAGGCCAGCTAGGGCTACACGGAGACCCTATCTCAAAAAAAGGCCAAAAAATTTTTTTTTTCTGTTAGCCAGGCATGGTAGTACATACCTTTAATTCCAGCACTTGGGAGGCAGAGGCAGAGGCAGAGGCAGAGGGATCTCTGTGAGTTTAAGGTCAATCTGGTTCACATAACAAGTTCTAGGCCAGCCAGGACTACATAGTGAGACACTGTCACAAAAAAACCCAAAAGATCTCTGGGCCTGGCCCAGCCCTCACCTCCCTCTGGTTCCCTGGGGTGCAAGGCCATCAGCCTCCTTTCTGGATGCCTGGGCTGACCTCTCAGCCCGGGGCCACCACTGCTTTCTGATTCCTTGCATCCAGACGGACCCAGTTCTTTCTCCTGGTCCCAGGAGCCCTCTGGACCTGGTCCCACCCTCACCACTCTCACCTCCCTCTGTTTCCCTGGGCCTGCACAACCCAGCTGGGCGTCTCTTCCCTGTTAAGTGGATCACACCCTCTACACCTTTACTCCCCCAGCCACATTCACCCTCCCATCTCCCCCACCCGTCTCTCCTCTTAGCCTGGGTACTGTCCCATTCCTTGTCTTGGCACCCCAGACACCAGGGGAACCACCACTGCTTCCTGATCCTTTGCATCCAGACCAACCCAGTTCCGTCTCGCAGTCTCCAGGAGACCTCTAGGCCTGGCTTCACCCTCACCTCCCTCTGCTTCCCTGGGTTGCACAACCCACCAACCTCTTTCCTGGTCACCAAGGCTGACCTCTCGGCTTCCTGATTCTTTGCATCCAGACCAACACAGTTCCTCAGTCCAGTCCCCAGGAGCTCTGGGGCCTCTTCCTGCCCCCATCTCCCTTTGCATCACTGGGTGGCATGGCCACCACCTGCCCGAGACCAGCATCTTTCCTGGGCCCTGCTCCCAGGCAAGTCCAACCCCCAAATTTCTGAGGATAACATCTTTCCTGAAGGGATCCAGACGTTAGGAGAAAGCCTGAGAGCATCTGATCCTCATCTAACTTGGGCCTCTGTGGGAAGACAAAAGCAATCTGGCCACTCCAATATAAAATCAAAAAAGAGAACCAGAAGCTTAGACGAACCAGCTTTTCATTTCCCAAAAGTAAACCCCAAAGGCACATAAAGTTCACAAAAAGAAGCAGACCTAAACTTGAAGGCTTGAGTCTCACACAAGAATCAGAAACTACAAAAGAAATTCACATGTCAGAATCACAGAAAAAAAAAAATAACATGAAAAACCAAAATAAAGTATCCCCACCAAATAAAAACGGTCCTCTAGAGGAGTACAATGAGAACCCCTTAGAGAATATGCAGGACATGGAACTCAAAAGAACAATAATAAACACCATAAAAGAATTCAGTGAATTTAAGGAACACACAAACTAAGAAAGAACTGAAGGAAGATAGGGATAAACTTCTGAATGAATTCAGAAAAGACCCAGAAATATTGAAGACTACTCAGGCTGAAATGAAAACACTCCATAAGCCAATTAGAAATGACAGGAGAAAGCCTCACCAATAGGATGAACGAAACGGGAAACAGAGAATCAAGACTGGAAGATAAAGTGGATGGACTGTACCACTCAAGCAAAGATTATGAAAAATTTAAGAAATCACAAGAATGGAATATGCAGGAATTGTGTGACACCATAAAAAGACCAAACTATGAATCAGAGGCATACAGGAAGAAGAATCCCAAGCTAATGGCATGGACCAGATCTTCAACAGAATCGTGGAAGAAAATTTGCCAAAATTAAAGAAAGACATGCCCATACAAATATAAGAAGCATATAGAACACCAAACAGACAGAACCAGAAAAGAAACTCTCCATGGCACATCGTAGTAAAAACACTACACGCACAAAACAAAGAGACAATTCTGAAAGCTGCAAAAGAGAAACAAGTCACATATAAAGGATAACCCATTAGGATTACAGCTAACTTTTCAGTGCAAACTATGAAAGCCAGAAGAGCCTGGACCAAAGTAGACCCAGTTTTAAATGACCACAGATACCAACCCAGATTTCTATACCCAGCCAAAATGTCTATTAAAGAAAAATCTTCCAGACCCTGGGTTGCCACACTCCAGGGAAACAGAACAACCATGACATAAAAGACTGAAGGAATTCATGTCCACAAAATCAGCCCTTCAGAGAGTTCTGGAAGCAATGCAAAGAGCTGAAGAAAGGAATGACTATACCTAAGGGGTTGAAGAAAGAAATTCAATGAAGGTATAACTGTGGAAAAGTACAGTTATATCAAGAATGTGAACAGAAATAAAAATGACAGGATTCAATACACATCTTTCATTAATAACTTTAAATATTAACGGAATGAACTTCCCAGTCAAAAGACACAGACTGGGTGAATGGATTAAGAAACAAAGCCCATCTTTTTGTTGTCTGGAAGAAATTCATCTCACTTTCAAGGACAGGCACTATCTTGAGGTGAAAGGATGGAAAAAAATATACCAAGTGAATGGTACTAAGAAAAAAGCAGACTTTGCAATTCTAATATCTGACAAAATAAACTTTAAACTAAAACTAAACAGAAGAGATAAAGAAGGCCACTTCATTCTGATCAAAGGAACAATAAACAAAGAAGATATTACAATCATGATCATATATTCACCTAAACCTGGTGCACCTAACGTCATAAAAACAATACTACAGGACTTTAAGACCCAGATTAATCTCAAGTCATTAATAGTAGAGGACTTCAATACCCCCTGTCTCCATTAGATAGGTTAACAGAGCAGAGAGTTAACAGAGAGACAACTGAATTAAATAATATATCAAAGGGACCTAACAGACATCTACCCAGTATTCCTCCCAAGCCATCAAAGGATATACTTTCTATTCAGAGTCCCATGAAACCTTCTCCAAAATCGACTATACTGGGGCACAAAACAAACCTCAACAAATACAAAAAGATTGTATTCTATCAGACCATAATGCAATAAAGCTTAAAATCAACACCGGAGGACGCCCTAGTCACCACATGAACACATGGAGATTATACAACACACTTCTGAATAATGATGGGTCAAAAGAGAAGATAAGAACAAAATA